CTGGGTATTATTATTGACAACAAATTACGTTTTGGTCCACATATTAAGTATCTGAGTAAAAAAATTAAAGAAGAAGTTAGGGTTTTTCTTTAGAAATAAGTCATGTTTCCTATTTAAGGTGAGGAAAAAAATAGTGTCCGCTGCATTTTTACCGATTCTCGAATATGGGGATGTGGTTTACCAGCTTACCTTCTTTCTTCCTTGGATGCTTTGTACCATGGTGCTCTGAGATTTATTACTGATTGTAAATTTTCAACTCATCATTGTGATTTATATGGCCTTCCTTGAGAATACGGAGAAAAATGCACTGGCATTTGTTGATATATAAGGCAATTTTGGGTTATTTGCCAAAGTATCTCTGTTGTTTTATACAAAGGACTTTAATTGGAAATCATTCATTGCGTTCTCAATCAATTTACAATCTCTGTATACCTTTTGTCAGAACTGAGCTTGGTAAAACCTCTTTTAAATATGCTGCAGCCTCAGATTGGAATCTTCTTCAAAAGGAGATGAAGTTACAAAACTTGGTGTCTTATAATTATTTTAAGTCATTATTATGTAATCTTGAGAGCAACTTAATGGTGTGTAGTTGTTTTAACTGGTTATGTGTTGGTTTTGTAATGTATGTTGTAACTACGTTGTTTATTTGTATATGCAAACTCGGCTGCCTATCTTGGCCAGGACACTCCTGGAAAAGAGATTTTAATCTCAGTGAGTCTCTTCCTGGTTAAATAAATAAATGAATGTAAAATATTCTTATTTTTATGTTATATTTAATATTTCTTTTACTTTAGTAAAAAAAAATCCTTTTTGGTGTTTTTTTGGTTTTTAAAATTTTATTTACCTCTAAAATATGTTTTATGTCAAATATTCCTATTTTTATGTTATATTTAATATGTCTTTTACTTTAGTTAAAAAAGAAAAAAAATTATAATTCCAGTAAGTTCAGACAGCCTACATCTGCTGACATATGGTGGTATAAAAATACAAAAATATAAAAAAATATCAATAGACACTATTTGGCTGTAGTACTCAATGGCTGCATATCTATAAACCATTGTTGTAACGAACTTAGTATGAAAACTAAAAGTAGCCAAGTCTTGTACCTCTCAGATTAAGGAAACTATTAAAAAAAGGTTTTGCCCATCCCGAAGGATCCTAAGGGTTAAGCTTAATTTTTTCTAACTGTCATCTTTTGTGTGTAAAAAAAATTATATGTATAAACTTTTATCAAAAATGTTAATTAAACAGTAAATTAAATTAAAATAATATGATACAATCAGGAAGAATAAGTCACCAGTCAAATGAAATCAGCATCAACAGACTATTTACAGACTGTTTAACGAGGCTCAGAGGTTGGCATGAATGCATTTACATTCATAATAGCAATGTTATAAGATTAATGTTTTGAATATAGAAATATTAAACGATTTAAATAACTCAATTTATACTTTAAAAATGAAACTGAAACCACCAGTAGGTGGCGGCAAGCCACTGTCTTTGTCACTGAATCACTGAATCATTTATTTACTTGATTCATTCGAACGACTGATTCGTTTAGGAACGAAGCAAGTGACTGTGTTTATGAATGGGTTGAATCAGTGACGTTGTATTTTCGGTGACGAGAAACAACCTAACTTGTTATTCACTGAGCATTAACCTTTGCATAAAATCAAAGATGTAGGCCTATAAACTCTTGTATAAATTAAATATCACAGTATCACATCACTCTTAGATCCATTATGATTAAAGAAGCTCTCTACACTGCACAATGAATGTATTATTTACATTTTATTCAGTGTTTTTCTCAGCAAGTAGTAATTGCAGTAATTTAGCTTGTATTTAATGAGTGTTTTGAATCTCTTCTTTCAGATGAAATCAGTAAATCACGCAGTCAGACCAAGAAAGAGAGAAGTAAACCTCCAGGAACCGCGGAGTTCACCGTGAGTTCGTCTCGCTGTATAAACGCTGCTCATCTCATCAATGAACTGCTTAATCTTTCATGTTTTTAACTGGTCAGGTCGGAGCGAAGGACACTCTGAACAGCATCGCTCTGAAGTTCAACATCACTCCGAATAAACTGGTGCAACTGAACCGTCTCTACTCGCTCAGCGTCGTACCTGGACAGGTGAGGCTCCTCTCCTGCGCTTTGATCGGTGACTCAGTTAAACCTAAAGCCTAACGTTTAGTTTCCCGCTCAGAAACTGTTCGTCCCTGAGGTGGAGCAATCAGAGCGGTCCTCTGAGCATCTCACAGCGCTGGAGCTGAAGGTAAGACGCTTCAGACGGCCTGTTTTTCTCTGTAAGGATCTCTTAACCCCTGAAGGGCCACCGGCCCACAGGTGGGCCCAATGGCACTCTTTGTTGTCTTTTTTCTCCATCACATAATTTAGTAATTATCATAAATTATATGTGACGCTGGAGCGCAAAAGCAGTCTTAAGTCGCTGGGGAAGATCATGTTCCATGAAGATATTTTGTAAATGTCCTACCGTAAATATATCAAAACTTAATGTTTGATTAGTAACATGCATTGCTAAGAACTTCATTTGAACAACTTTAAAGGTGATTTTCTCAATATTTAGATTTTTTTGCACCCTCAGATTCCAGATTTTCAAATAGTTGTATCTCAGCCAAATATTGTCCGATCCTAACCATATTTCCATATGAACCATCCCAATTTCGAGAAATTGACCCTTATGACTGGTTTTGTGCTCCAGGGTCACATATATCATCTGAAAGCTTAAAACCTCAGAATTCATCCTGTGAAAACCTTTTTAAATCGGACATTGCTTTACCATGGAAATGGTACTTTCAAATCTTTTAGCGGCCTCCTCCCCTTAGTGGGTGGAGTCAAGTGTCGTATTACAAAATGTATTACGGTCTCCCCTTAGTGGGTGGAGTCAAGTGTCGTATTACAAAATGTATTACGGTCTTTTAGAATCAAAAGTTTTTATAATATTGACAAAATGCATGTATTTGGAACGGTCTGAGTCTCAAGATTCCACATTTGGTGGTTATAGAAGTAATATTGATTGAGAAATTTAGACAACAAATTTTGCATCAACAAACATTCTATAGAGTTTGGATGGCACCCGGTGGCTGTTTGTGGTGTAACACCCTAAATAAAATCTCACAGGAACCTACATTTTTTATATTATTGACTCCTATATAGATTATTATAGTTCACTAAAACTAAAAAGAAATGTTAACATATATATATATATATATATATATATATATA